CTCTTATTTTCGTAATAGGAAATCGAAGCCGCCCGTTACAAAATAAGACTACAAACCGATTGCTTAAAAATTGCAATATATAAAATTAGCAAATCACGGAGACCAGTGACGTCGATGTACATCGAATAAATTAATAACAACATGACAATGGCATCCTTCCCCGATATAAACCGGCGTTAATAATATAAAATTGGAATTATAATGCATTAACCTAATAATATTCTTCAATTTCGGGCAATAGAAAGTAAGAAAGAAAAAGGTATGGACCGATATTCCCCATTTTCGAACTTGAACTAAGTTCGGAAGAAATATTACTATGTGCAAGGTTTGGATGAAATGAAAACCAAAATTTATCTCGGAGAATCGAAGAACACCAAATGGGTATGGGGGCTACACCAAAACCTAGACTGATAGATCCCATTTGCAATAACTAACATCGTCGGAATACTAGCAATGTGCGTGCAAAAATTTAGAGCTTTATCTTAAGTAATGTGATCGCTATCGTGATTTCAACAGACAGACCGATGAATTTAATATACACTACACCTTATGGTGGAGGGTATACAAATGATCATACACGTTTCTCTGTTAGGCACTAGAATTATCAAATCATCAAGTTCGAGGAGAAGGGACATGTAATCAATCCAGGTCCTATTACAAGAAAATTCATTTTAATCGGTCGTCCACACCTTTGGCACCTTCCCATTAAATAGTCAAAATTTTGCTGAAAATACATTTTATAATATCATGCGAATAGAGCATTCGATTCAAACCATACCTAATATCCTAACCATGCTTGTATAATTTTTGAAGATGGGACTTATCGGTCCACTCCTTTCTAGTACCTCCGCCACAAAGGTTAAAAATTTTGAAAAATTGTAAATCTTATACGAAGTGAACGGAATATTCAAATACCATTAAAACCTTGCACTTCCAATCTGACTCCTACAAAGAGTTGACATTTTAAAAATTGCTTATTAATCCAATATCAGGCGAATTGCCGATTAGATCCAAATTGTGTACATCATTATATTTCTTTCAAACTCAAATCAAGTTCGAAAATGGAACCCATCTCTACATTCAAATACCATCAAAACTTTTCACTTCCAATCTGAAGAGGGAATCCCTTAGAGTCCACTCCTATAATGCGTTTAAAAAAAAAATTTGTTAATCCAATATCAGACGAATTGCCGGCTAGTTTCTAATCGGATTGATGGAGGTTATGAAAAGTTCTTAATCGCCTTTTCTACTTCTATAAATATTTTATATTTATAATCTGTCTATAGTCAGGGGGTTTTCAGTCAGTATATAATGTTTATTAAACACATCTATTAATTCTTTAGTCAGAACGTCAAACCAAAAACACCCCCTATTTATTTTAATAAAAATAGCTGCTCAAAAAATCCGACAAAAATAAATAAACATGTTTCAGCAATAATTGACATCATTTTGATAGTGCAAAAAATAACAAGCACAATCATACTAAATAAACAATTAAATTGACAAAAAAAAAAAATGAAAACAATACATTAACAAAACTAAACAATGCAAATATGTGGTGGTTGTGGTGGGGGCAATGCAAAGCAAACCCATACGAAAGGAATTTTGACAAAAGCAAAAAAAAGCGAAATAAAACAAAAACAAGGCACACTCATAACGTAGCGGTGGGGAAATGTAGTCCGGCGGTCACTGGTACGAAAAATACAAACAAAAACAAAATCTAAAAAAAAGTTTCAAAATCACAGCCACTTTGTAAAAAAATTAATTAACTAAAGTTGATTTGTTGCAGTGGACAGACAGGCAGACCGACTGACGAAAAAGCACGATGTATTGTGTTGATGCATTTCCCGTCATTTGCAAATAGCAAGGCAGTAAGTGCTATATGAACACCAGTGGAGCTCCCCACACAAACAAATACACACACACACACAAATACATATGGTATGCGCCTCCCGTTTGTCCATCATCATCATCGTCAAGCAGACAGACAGACGTAGTTTGTTGGTGACCGACCAGACAAACGGGAAGAAGAAAATCATGAATGATGGAGAATTATCCACAAATTAACTGGCTGTCTGGTATTTGTTATGTGTAGCTGTTATTTCATTGTGTTTCTTTCTGTCATTTTGTTGTTTTTTTTTTTTTTGATGGTTACATTTCACTCTCAGATGTTTTTGCTGTTGTTATTGTCGTCGTTTGACTATGTGTTTATTTAATAAGTCACCAAATAAATGATGATTAAATTGAATGGCCAAATATTGTTGAGGGTAGTCATAACATTTCTTGTTATTTTGTTACCCACTTTCCGTTTGCATTGCTTTTTTTTGTTACATGTTTATGATTGCGGGTGTAAAGTGGATCCTCTTGTTATTGTGCCAAAAGAGGGAGAATATGTCTGCTGGCTAACTACTTTAAAAGGAAATTTGTGCAAATTACTTTAAGTTAGCAAAAAATAAATTATTATTTTTAAGGTTAAAAATATTATTCAATTGATACCCCCAAAAATAGGTGATTAACCAATAGTTTCACAATTTCTGTCGTTTTGTTGCACCTACTGCGGTGATATTTGTGACGACTTTTTTGGGCAGATTTTACTTTTGTATTTGTATCGTTGTTGTTTTTGCTGCAATTGTTGTTGTTCGTTGTATTATATGCGTAACAAAGTAATTTCTATTGTTTTAATTTTAATTATCATTTAAACGATTTCATTTTTCTTTTTATTTAGTTATCACAAACACACACTATTACACACATTTATTTGAATTTATGTTTTTTTCTTATCGCAAACACTAATCTTGTAAGGTTTTTAAGCAAATTATTTACATTTTTATTGGAGAATACAATTTTTTGGCGACTTAAACAAGTTTCTTCAATCTAGGGATAAGCAAATCGACTTTCGACTAGGGATAAGTAAATCGACTTTTGAATAATCGATTAATCGAAGTCGACTTTTGATCTTTGAGGTAATCGCAATGTCGACTTTTCAAGTACTTGGTTTATTATACCAAAGCCAAAATTGTACATTCAAACAACAAAACAACATTTATATAAAAAAGAATCAAATTATATTCTCCAATATCTCCGCACTGAGAATGATACCACAACACTGAGTCGTTGGTGGGAAAGATAACGGCGACAATGAATTGTGAAATGGACGGCGTTGTAAAGCAATGCCGTTATTAGAACAGCTGTTACAAGTGAAACCTAAAATAAATACGTTCTATTAATCTCTGGATTTTGCACTGTTTTTTTAATTATTTGTTTTAGAGCGTATTTTAGTAAAACAAGATTATAAATACATCGAAAAAATATATAATAAAGCATTTTTGATGGATAAAATACTGAAATAAAATAATTAAAAGAGATAAACTATTAAAATCACACTTTTTATATCCTCCATAAAAAAAACACTGATATAAAAAAATAATAAAAAAGTTAAACTATATTCTACAATAAAATGGAGTAGATTTGGCATTCCATTTGCCATACCTCGAAATATTTGTCGGATTTGTCATCGTAGGACGATTACGTAAACTATAAACACCTTTCTGTACGCTTCGCCATAAATCGGTGTATACACAAACATTTTTAATGGCACTCTTGCCAAAATTTTGCTTTTTGAGAGTGTGGCTTCTCATGCTTGTCACATTGTTCAATTCGAATCACTCTGCGAATAACGAAGAAATTGAATGTATTTATCGAAAATAAATTAATTTTGACAGCTTGAAAATATTTATAAAACTTTCAAACTTTTTCAGTAAAATTGAAAATGAGGAATGAAAAGTAAAAAATTGTATATTTTTTATATTATCTACATAATGCAATATGCATTAGAAATTTCCTACCAACCAGCAAGTCTACATTATCGGCATAGGCTACAACCATTATTTTAAGATGATCGAATTACATCAGTATCTCATTTATCACCAGAAGCCACAGAAGACGAGAGAATACTCCCCTTGTGGTGTGCCTCTGTTGACAGATTTCCTAACGGAACTCTCTCCTATGGATGAGTTGATAATTCTGATTCCCAGCATTCTACCTGCGCTTACGAGATCAGAATGGATGACCTCTACCTTCACATTGTTGAAAGCTCCCTCAATATTGAGGAACGTTTCCAAGGTGTAGCCAGAGGACTCCATATTCTTCTCAATACGACTTTGCAAAATGAGCCCAAGTTTCAACAAGGCTCCATTCTAATATAGTCGGGACCCTGACTGCAAACCATAGAAAGCTGTTGGGCACGAGGTCGCCTGACAATCCAGCATTAGGGGGGTCATTTTATGAGGTAGTGACCCAGACCTTTGAAATGGTTATTTAGGGTGCCATTCTCGCCTCGTCAGCTCAGGGATCATAGGCACTCGGTCATTTCCTTCAAGACTCTCCCGCTGAGCCCGCTGGAGAGTCTCCCTATGGTACACCCATTATTCGGTATTTTGGGGGTTTTGGTATGTTTTTCAACCGAAATCGATTTAATTTGATTTATCAAATTCTTCGGTGTTGTCAAATCTTCCTACCAAAAATTATCATTGGCAGTTTATGATTTATTTTAGCTCCTATAGAACGGTACACACGGAAATGTACAGTACTGAATTTTTATTCTGAACGATTTATGGGCCATGATGATAACTTTATTTTGAAAAAATATTGACTTCTTTGTGAAAATGCTAATAGCATTTATCGTGAAAATATACAAAATCCGAGTTCTAGTGATTAACGGACTGTCACTCTTAATTTATTATGGTCTCTTAAACATTGTATTCCATGCGAACCTCCTTAATAACAATATACCATCATTATCGATATAAAAACGCATTTCGCATTAGGTTGCACTACTGTGGTTTCATTGTGTTATCGCCATTTCACAAACACCCATCACTAAATGTCAACGAAAAGAGCAACAAACGCGTTGTGCTGGTAAGCGGTGCACATAGCAATTTGCGGAATTCCTCAAAACGTTTGGTTGGAAACATTTGATACACCTTTTTTTGAAAGCTATTCACGGAAATGCCAAAAGTTCGAAGATCACGTAAACCGCCACCAGATGGTTGGGAATTGATAGAGCCGACATTGGAAGAATTGGAACAGAAAATGCGTGAAGGTGAGTTGGTATTACCATGGAATGTACAGAATAGCATTTTGTCGAAACTATTTTATATAATTTTGTTAATGTTTTAGGCAAGTGGGTCGTACTAATGAGTTTTTCGTCTATCGATTATCGCTTATCCTTCCTAATGAGTGTGAACACGAATGTGAAAGGGAGGTGCACAATAGGAAGTCATAGTTTTCACAAAAAGGAGGACACATGCAGTCTTGTGGGCTGTGAAGTGGTTTTGTAGTGTTGAGAAGAAAAAAACCTTAATGAAGCTTTTTATAGAGTACCTTTGTAAGGTCATTTATTGCTAGGAGACCTACATAACCGCTATCATAGATAGAGGGCCCGTATGAGATCTTTTGCAGACCTCATGAAGCTCTCCTATGAGAATGGGCTTCTGAGGCTTTCCATTGATTGAAGATCTTAATGAGGACTTTTATAGATAGAAAGCCCTTAGTTGGTCTTCTATAGATGAAAGGCCTTAATGATCATTTATTGCTAAGAGACTTTCATAACCAGTTTGTATAAATAGAAGACCTTTATGAGATCATTTGTGGACCTCATGAAGGTCTCCTATGATTGTAGCCTTCTTAGGTTGTGTATAGATTGAAGATCTTTATGAGGACTTCGATAGATAGAAGGCTCTTAGTAGGTCTTCTATAGATGAAACGACTTCTATAGGTAGTATACCTTTTTGAGATATTCTACAGACAGAGAATTCATATGAAGTCGTCTATAGGTAGAATACTTGTATTAAATCTTCTATAGATAGAATACCCTTTATGTGGTTCTATATATAGAAGACTCGTGAGTTGTTCTATAGATAGAATATCCTAATGAGGACTTCTATAGATGGGTAATCCATATGAGGCCTTCAATAGATCTACGATCCCTAGAAAGGGTTCTTCTATACGTAGAAGACCTAAAGCGATTTTACATATATATTAGACCTTTATGAAGTCTTATATATAGGTGGAACAGACATTTAAGGTCTTTTATAGATCGAAAGGTATTTTACAGATAGACGACCTTTGGAGAACTAAAATGTGTTGTGTCTTCTGGAAGAAGTGGCCAAGAAGTTATTCTAATAAATAGAAGACCTCATATACAGAAATCGATATTGGTGTCTTCTATCTTTTAGAATAACTTTTTGGCCACATCTTCTAGAAGACAGAATACATTTTAGTTCTACTAGAGGAGTAGGACATTTATCAGACTTTTGGACTTCTCTGGGGCTATTATAGGAGAACGACTTTTTGATATATATTTCCATTCAATAATAAAGTTTTCAATTTTTCTTCTACTTACAGCTGAAACTGAACCCCATGAGGGTAAACGTATCACCGAATCGTTGTGGCCAATTTTTAAAATTCATCATCAAAAATCCCGCTATATTTATGATTTATTTTATCGCCGTAAAGCCATCAGTCGTGAACTGTACGATTATTGTTTGAAAGAGAAGATAGCCGATGCCAATTTAATTGCCAAATGGAAAAAATCAGGTTATGAAAATTTATGCTGCCTTCGTTGTATACAAACGAGAGATACGAATTTTGGTACAAATTGTATTTGTCGTGTGCCAAAATCGAAATTGGAAGAAGGACGTGTTGTGGAGTGTGTACATTGTGGTTGTCGTGGTTGTTCGGGCTAAGAAATGTTGAGAGAAACACCTGCAAAGAAAATAAGACAACACAAAAATATACTGGTACATGTGATTATATTTCACAATAAGTAGTAGTTGTAGTTATAATTTTTTTAGATAATAGTATACTATATATAAAATGATAGACTTTGTGACAAATATTGCTTTCTCAATCACATGATTTTCTTTCCAAAAATATATGTACTAAACAACAAACATTTTTGTAATAAAAATAAACAACAAACAAATATGAAATGGATGTAATGGATTTTAATATGAAATAATAGGCAATAATAATGTCTTTCGTGGATGTTGATAAAATGTGAGCCTAAGCCTGTAAATACAATGGCCCCTAACACTTCAATTATTATGTTTGAAATTCGTACGCCCTAGGCAAAATTTGAACCAGATCGAGTAGGAAGATAGCCAAGCTGCTTAAAAAAACCTAGGAAAACCCAAATTGGCTAATGTTTCTATCCATAAGGTAGATTGATGATACTTTGTATTTTAACATGCAATTAACACATATAAATATCTAAAGAAGCATATCTCAAAATACAAAGCATACTTTTAGGATTGATAGAATAAAATAAAATTATAAAAATAAATATCTCGCTCGCTGTTTATTGGTGAAAAGTTTTACAATAAATTCTACAAAATTTTCTTGTAGAACATTCTTCAAAATCGCGATATTCGGACCACCAAACCAATAGGCGTGGATTTTTATACCCTTCTCTTTATGCATATTTTTGTAACAGGCAAAAGGAAACGAGATAGACACATGGTTCCTTTTGAGAATATGCATAGAACAGGGATGCGAAATGAAATTATTCAAATTGTACTGGCTTTTAATAAAATGTGTACTTTTTTCAGTCCGATTGTACTTTTTATACATTTTTTAATAAAAAAATTATTGTTACTATCAATTAATAAAAACATACATAAACCAGTAAGGAATGTAGTAAAGTCGGACGGGGCCGACTATATGATACCCTTCACCACTATGGGTATATTAAAAAGATGCATCTTAACAGAAGGGTCATTAACATGAAATTGGATGACTAAAATATGTGAATCGATTTAGATCAATCCATAAACATGTCATTCGTTTGTTACAATGCGTAACATTTACGTAAATCGATTTAAAGCAAATATCAATCGGGCACCCGTGGAATATATGGAGCCCAATTAACACGAAGTCAGTCAGAAATATATATGGGCTACATCTGTACTTCTACACGCAATTACGTCATTCTATTCTGAAAAAAACATGAAGCGTTTGGTGCAACATTTACCTAAAATTGGATGAAAATAGATATGGAAGCTATATACAAATATGAACAGTTTTCAATGAAACTTGTTACAGGTCAGGTTATTTGGGTCCTTGGGTCCCACTTAAAATCTGGATGGATTCCAATAAAACTTGACACATGTTTGGCTATACTATCTTAAGTACATTGTGCAAAATTTTGTGTGAATCTGCCTAACATTGAGTCTTTGGTGCTCCATTTATTTAAAATCGGAAGAAAATATATATGGGAGATATATATAAATCCCAACTGATTTCAGCAAAATTTGACACATGTAGCTATGTCAAATTAAAATTGAATCGGGCAAAAATATATATGGGAGCTATATCTAAATCTGAACCGATTTTCACGAAAATTAACACACATCATTCTAGACTCAATTCAGTACTCTATGCCAAATTTTGGGTAAATCGAAAGACCACCAGTTACATTAAATCGGTCGAAAATATATATGTGAGCTATATCTAAATCTGAACCGATTTTCCCCTATTTCAATAAGGTTCGTCCCTGGGCCAAATAAATGTGCTGTGCCAAATTTCATCCAATTCGAATCAAAAATGCGACCTGTACTTTGTTTACAATTTAACATGGACAGACGGACGGACATGCATAAATCGACTTAAAAAGTGATTCTATGCATATTCTCAAAAGGAACCATGTGTCTATCACGTTTCCTTTTGCCTGTTACAAACATATGCACAAAGACATAATACCCTGTAGGGTATAAAAACATACATACATAATATGAAAACCTAAAAATTAACAAAAAGGTACATAAAAAACATTTGTTCTACGTACTTATACATAAGGCTTATATATAAAGTGATCAATTAAGTTAAACGTTTTTGCAGCATAGCAGCACGACTTCAACTAATCCTTCGTTTGTATAAGATTTGTAGCAGTCGAAATCTTTAGTCTGCTCCTTTCTTTGATTTTAATTATATTTTCATATGAAAAAACCCTTTCCACATTTCATAGTTTCTACATGCATTATGGCATCCTCAGACTACATTTCTAAATTGACATCACTTGTAATTTTTAGTACATATTGTAAGAACATAAATAACAGTTTGTAAAAAGGGGTTTTTAAGTGAAAATAATTTGATATAATTTAGAAATAGTGCTAAATAAGTCATTGGGGTGCTATTGTACTTTTGACTTCCAAATAGTGCTAAAATTAGTACAATTGTACCAACTTTTGCATCCCTGGCATAGAATCTCTTTCAGAGTCGATTTATGCATCGATTTAAGGTTAATGGTGCGCCAAAGTCCCTAAATATCTTTCCATATGCACGAAATTTGGCAATTAGGAGACTTTGAAGAACATACCCAAAGTGGTGAATCATATAGTCGGCTCAGTCCGACTTTAGTACTTTCCTTACTGGTTTAATTGTTTTTTTTTTAAGGCGTGGATTTTTAAAATAGATTTTTTTCAAGGACCATCACAAGAGGCGTGGATTTTTAAAATATATTTTTATTCAAGGACCATCACAAGAGGCGTGGATTTTTAAAATAGATTTTTTTCAAGGACCATCACAAGAGGCGTGGATTTTTAAAATAGATTTTTTCAAGGACCATCACAAGAGGCGTGGATTTTTGAAATAATTTTTTTTTCGTGGACCATCACACGAGGCGTGGATTTTTAAAATAGATTTTTTTCAAAGACCATCACAAGAGGCGTGGATTTTTAAAATAGATTTTTTTCAAGGACCACCACAAGAGGCGTGGATTTTTAAAACAGATTTTTTTCAAGGACCATCACAAGAAGCGTGAATTTTTAAAATAGATTTTTTTCAAGGACCATCACAAGAGGCGTGGATTTTTAAAATAGATTTTTTTCAAGGACCATCACAAGAGGCGTGGATTTTTAAAATAGATTTTTTTCAAGGACCATCACAAGAGGCGTGGATTTTTAAAATAGATTTTTTTCAAGGACCATCACAAGAGGCGTGGATTTTTAAAATAGATTTTTTTCAAGGACCATCACAGGAGGCGTGGATTTTTAAAATAGATTTTTTTCAAGGACCATCACAAGAGGCGTGGATTTTGAAAATAGTTTTTATTTCAGGGACCATCACAAGAGGCGTGGGTTTTTAAAATATACTTTTTTTCAAGGACCATCACAAGAGGCGTGGATTTTTAAAATATACTTTTTTTCAAGGACCATCACAAGAGGCGTGGATTTTTAAAATATACTTTTTTTCAAGGACCATCACAAGAGGCGTGGATTTTTAAAATATACTTTTTTTCAAGGACCATCACAAGAGGCGTGGATTTTTAAAATATACTTTTTTTCAAGGACCATCACAAGAGGCGTGGATTTTTAAAATATACTTTTTTTCAAGGACCATCACAAGAGGCGTGGATTTTTAAAATATACTTTTTTTCAAGGACCATCACAAGAGGCGTGGATTTTTAAAATAGATTTTTTTCAAAAGTCGCAATGGTCTATCTTCCAAACGAACTTTCTGTCTATGAGGTGCCAGGTATGCATTTACCATTTTGACTTCAATTATTTCTCATGGTCACATGTCATCTGAACACTGCTAAAACTGAATGCCCTTTGAAAATTGTAGTTGTACCCACAAAAAACAGCTCTTCATAAAACCAAAAAGTGTGTGTCCTCATTAAGCATGCGGATGAGGGTCAAGAACATTCAGTCAGAAATTCTAGTATTTATTCTTAAAATTCTGTTGGTAGTATTTACACAATGATAATAATAATCATCCTCATCATCACCGCCATCACCATCATCATTGTCAGCAGCATCGTTCGTTTCATCATGAATTGTAAAAAAAAAACAACGACGACGACGATGATTTTTAACAGCATTTATTTTATTAGTACTTTATTTTTATTTAATCATAGCACAGTTAAGCACGGATTGTAAATCTTCTGGTGTTTATCCTAAAGATATATTTTTTTAATCTTCGTGGTGTTGTTGTTTTTTAACGTCGTTGAACATGGCTGTGCTGTTTTTTTTTTCTGCGGGACTTATTATTTTTCTCAAAATTATTTGTATAAGAATTATTATTTACTATTTTATTTTGTTATTATTGTTATTTTTTAGTGTATCTGTTTTTTTTGTGTTTTGGAACTAATATATGTAGGTGTTTATTTATTTTAAAGTTAATGCCATTGTTTACATTACGACAAGTTCCTTATTGTGGCGCAAATTGATGATTGGAATGTGGACCTTGAAATTTGGACCAAGTCATTTGTAAAGGTATGGAGTTATGAGATTATTTTTTTTTTGACTAATTTTATCTGTCGATTTATTTTTTATCTTTTTTCCAGAGTTTTTTGAAATCTAAACTAATATTACGATTAAACAGACTAAGAAATGTAACAACAGGAAGACTAAGAAGAGTCGTAAACTAAAAATGTGTGGGTGTGTGTACCACAAAATCATGAAAAAAATGTTAAATATAGATCTATGTTTGGACATAACCCCCAACAAACCTTCCAAATCATTCGATATTTTGAAAACTTTAGCCACAATTTCCAATCGAAGGGTCTGAACTTTTGCATACCGAATTCTTAGAGGGTGATAAACCTATTTGAAAATGATTGATATGGGTCCATGATTTGACATGCTCCACACATAACGGCATTTGTAATATTTTAGTTACATTTTCCAATGAAGGCTGTTATTTCACATTTCGGGGGTTTGGAGGGTCACATGCAGCTATGATGTTGT